TGCCCCCACAGCTGCACCCTCAGCTTTCAGCTGTCCCTGCTTAAGACGAAAGAGATGTGGGACTGTCTCTGCCAGCAGGCAAAAAACCCAGTGAGACAGCTCATTCCCTTTAGCCTATCAACGCTGTAACGTGCTCCGCTTCATTTAAAAACACCCAGTGACACTTCCAAGAAAGGAAGGCAAGGCTGCAAATTTAAAGTTGTTTAAGGCACCCAGAGTTACCCATTATTCTCAATCAAGATGCTCATGACTCCAAACCCAGACGTGCACCTGCTGGCTTCGGTCACCTGCTGATACTAGAGACACAACTCATCCAAGGCTTTCCCTATCAGGCACTGAAGACTTGAAAATCCCTAACTTTCATTCTCATACAGAAAGTCATTAAAAAGACCACAGATGGAAGCACTAGGGACAACAGGCATGGGAGCAGCAGTAATAACTATATAAAAATAACTTTTCTAGGTATTTCTGCCTGGGTCTAGATCAAAACTAAAATTGAGCTGTCATGAATTACAATCTCATCCTTTAGAAAGCAGCAACCAAATAACACCAGGGCTGCAGGAAACATTCTGGTGCTGCTGAAACCCCAGGCAAGAAAAAAATAAATAAAATGGCATTCTGCAATGGATATTCATGAAGCACTCATCCTAATTTAAAAGGAAACAAGTCTAGAGTTCTTACTGCATTAATTCATGTGAGCCTGAAAGAACATTTTTATCCAAACTGTTAGATTCCCTACCAAGGCGTTAACATTCTCCAAGGCTGCTCAGATACACTAATTCTGAGAGCGCGGTTTGGTTTCACAGTGAGATTTGTCTTTCAGTCAACATAAAACATCAGAAGCGTCTTCTGAGCGTTCCTAGCAGGGTAGAAACAGTCTCTTTAACCTTTCTGGCAATGTTAAAAACCAAGTTATTGAGCTCCTACTGTGTACTGTATGCTAAGTAAGCTCTTTACCTGCTCACTCAACCTTCACAACAACATTCCAAGAGAGAGACTGCAACTATCCCTATGCTACAGGCGAGGAAACAAACTCAGACTAAGAGCCTTTCCCCAAGTCACTAAGACTGGCTGAGCCAGGATGTGAACCTACATTTGTCAGTCTCCAGAGCCAGAATTCTTAAATCTTGTAAGAGTAAGATTTTAATTCCAGCACAATGGCGAGATGCAGGTGCTGGACTTGTGCTGATCAGTTTTTAGTAGAAAGAGAATTTTTACATAAGTACGTATCAAGGCACCAACACAGTGGTAATTGAGGGGTTACAATTTGCTGTACTTTGTATAATTTGTACCCATTTATCTGCATAATGTTCATTCTTTTTAGTTCTGTCTACGAAGTGGGCAAATAGATGTTTTAAATTCCAGTCACAAATTAGAAAGATTTGTTTCAGGTAAAAGAATTAATAAGTTTTCTTAAGGCAAAGAACTCAGAAATGGCAAGGAGTAGCATCCTGTATCTGCTTACTGCTGGCACTTCAGGGGGCACTGGAACTGGAAAATACTTTTAAGTCCCCACCTCTTAGGACAAAAGGGTTAGAAAAGTTCACCTTGAATTCTTCTTCCATGAGGTTTTCCACTCTATCAATATCAACCAGAAAATAACCATTAGAAATTAAACTGCATTTAAGCTGATGACCTTCACTAAGCTAAATTCAACAATTTGTCAGCTATAAAACATTAGATGAACAGAAGTCTGAAAAACATTAAGCAGAATTTAAACAAAAATAACATGAAAATTAATGGGAATGAGACATAATGAATGATGGCATCCTAGATTCATGACTGACTTTTTTAACAAGCACTTGAGCCGGAAGGTGGAAGCAGGATCCAGGGACATGCAGAAACCTACAACTCAGGAGATACACTGAGGTTCAGCAGTCTATCATTTCCCCAACGTGACACATTTACACCTAATATTAATGATGATGATGATTAAAAATGTATTAAGCAGTTACTAGGTGCTGAAAATCTGGATCGAGAGAGCTTTTGCCTTTCTTCTCCACAGGAGGTTTCTGTCCTCCCTGAGCTCACCTTAGGACCCCTTGTGTTACCATCTGACAGGTGTACTGCCCTAGTCAAACTCCCTGCCTGGCACTGTCCCCAGAGCGGGTCACTCTTCATATACTGTTTTTCATTGTAAAGCTCACAGCAACCCTATGAGGTCGATTCTATCCCCACACTACAGATGAGAAAACAGAGGCTCAGGCACATGACATAAATTGCCCAAGTTCACAAAGCTGGTTAGTAGCCTTGCTGGGATTCAAATCCAGGCCTGATTCCAAAGCTGATGGTCTGTCTTTCCCCACGGCCTCCAAACAAAGAATTACATGATTTTTTTTTTCTTTTCCCACAATTACGAGTAAACATTGTAATGTTTCAGAACTTGGTTTTATGGTATCAGCACCCTAAAAATGAAAACTGAAAACATCTACCTTGAATGGCAGCATTAGAGATGAGTAACATATGACAGAAAAAAAGCTGATAACAAAATGTCCTTTGAAAAAAGGAGGGGGCAATTTAAAAAAACAAAGTTGTTCCTCAGCAAAAATCAAGAAGTATTTAGTGCCCCTTACAAAAGTCAGATACTACAAGGCTCAGAGAGATGCTTTAGGTCCCAATGTCCTCAAAAAACTCCCAGCCCACTCAGGACAAGAGCAAGTTTAATAAGCAAGGAACAAGCACCGCACCCTGGGCTTCAGATTCTGTGCGCCACAAAGGCAGGGGGTAGGGCAGCAGGGAACACCCTCTGGAGGAAGTGTGTCTTCAGCAGGGGCTTGAAGGAAGTGAAATGGAGAATTTACACAGAGGAGAAGGAAAAGGAGGCCAGCACTTCAGAAGGGGAAACAACCGGAGCAAAGCCCGAGAGCAGGGATTCTCAACCTCTTTCATCTCATGGCACACACAAACTAATTACCAAAATTCTGCAGCACATCCCAAAATACATTTTTTTGTCCATCTGACCAAAATATTAAAAAGGTCTAATTTTGATTCATTCACATCCTATGGCTATTGTGTTAGCTGTTGTCGTTTTCATATTTGACAACCTAAGGGAAACGAGGTCATTGCCCCTGACTAAATGGCCAGGTATTGCACGTTTTAAAAATTCTTGCAGCGCACTAGTTGACAACCGCTGCCCCAGAGACAGTCGTAAACTCGCTCCCAAAGGGAACAGTCTCCAAGAGGGCGAAGGAGGGAATAAGGTTCCCGTAGGTGCAGAGGAGCCAATCAAGGAAAGCCGTGAAAAGACAGGGTGAGCAATGACTGGACACAGTGTGGCAGGCAAGAGGCCACTATTCAGCCTTGAAGAACAGTATAAATGCCATGGCCTCTTGGCTGATCACCTGGCCCCTAAGCTCTCCCTCCATCTCTTACGAAATATCAGGAACCACCTCCAGTCGGCTGCCCTCACCAATGCCTTTAGAATAGCTTCATCTTCGGCCTAGTGTTCAAGTTCCTTCAGGAACTAGCCCAACCAATCCTTCCTCCTATTCCTTTCCTATATGAACCCTTCTCTACAAGGAGGCTGGCCTATGCACAAACTACTGTGTAAGATCACCGGACCTGATTTGTTTTTTCCTATCTGAATCCTACTCACCCTTTAACAGTCAGACCAAACCCCTCTCTCTCCTTAAGCCTTCCCTGACCAGTTGGTCCATAATGACCTCCATCTCTCCTTCCCCTTAATTCTACAGTGCACAGCCTTGTCTAATAAATTACCTTTTTACAGGTAAAGTTTCAGCACCCACTGTAAAGCTGCTCAGAGGCTGTCTTCTTCTACACCCCCCCAACATGGAACAGCATCTTGACATTTAATAAGCAAACACTCAACTCTTTTCTTGACTTCCTATATTAAGTTTTGCATTAGCATAAAGAAAGGATGGGGGAGGGGGGTTTCTAAAGTCAGAGACCAGCTAAGAAGCTGTTGCAATAATCCAGATGTGAAGCAAAGAGGGCCTGGACTAGGGAACAAAGGGAAAATGGGCAAATACAAACAACGAAAAAAATTTTGCACGCAAAAACTCAGAGAGATGTAATTGACTACTGCTAGAAACAAAAGCAAGGGATGAATTATGATTAAGGTAAGGTTTAGAAACGCTTCTTGGAATCATTTTAAAGCTTGTCTGAAACCTAGTGTATTAAGTGGCCAAAAAGTCCTTATTTGCAAAAAGTCTTCAGTGAAACTCCCCAGTATCTTGAACCAGGGACAGCCCTACAGATTTCAGACATACACAGAAAAATGGAGTTTGAAGGGTGTTCAGAGAGCTAATCCAAAACCCTCACTGACCAGATGGGGAAACTGAGGCCCTGCGTGGAAGAGGCTTGCTGAAAGCCTCAAGCCTGAGACTCCCAGACTAATGCTGCCTTAAAGCACAGCTGCCAAGCCTAGAAGGACACTCTACCCCCGAGTCCAGCCCCAGCCCAGCTCTCCGTAATGGCAGGACCGTATCAAGGCGAGGGTGAGTACGAAGCCGTCTAGGGCCAAGCACGACGCGCCGCCGCCTGTTTACCTGGAGAAAGGCGGCGGCGTGGGGCAGGGACTCCGTTGCAGCCACCAGCAGAGCCAACCTGCCACCCGGCCCGGTTACACAGGGGTTTCATTAATCCGGCCTCCTCGTACAAAGAGGTAGCGCGCCCCAGGGTGAAGGGCCCGGAAGCAGGGGATCCCCAGACGCCCAGGGCGGCGGCGACTGGAGAGCCCGGGGCAGCTGGCCGAGCGCGACCCTCTGGCCCCCCAGTGACGCCCGGGCTCCCGGCCGCGCACTGTTGCCCCTCAGGGGCGCGTGCCTTGCCCGAGCAGGTGCCCCGGGCCTCCCGACCCCGCCCGGCCTCTGCCTCCAGCCCGCGCCGCCCGCCCACCCGCCGGCCGGCCGGACTGACCAGGCGCGGACGCTCCCGCCGCGCCCACAGGGAGCCGGACAGCGGCCGAGGACTGTTCCTCGCCGCTCCTGCTATGCCCGAGCCTCGTCCGCCGCCCGTTCTTTCCGACCGGTGCACCTCACCTGCCGAGAGCGCCGCGCTCACATCGCCTGTCCGCGGCGCTCCCTCCGCCGCCGGCGCCAGGCCCGTCCCCGCCGCTCCGGCAGCCGCCCCAGCCCGCGCCCCCCGCCCCCGGAAGCGCTTCTCGGCACCGCCCCCTGGGCGCCAGCGCTTCCGGGCAGGAGCGGACTGAGAAGGCGGTGCAGTGGAGGGGACCCTTCCCTGGGGCTCCGGGGTCCGGGTTCCGCCTCTAGCACGCCCCGGAGCCGCACCGCGGACGACTGGGAGAGCGGCAGCCTTGATCCCGACTCCAGGAGGGAGCGGCGGCGGCTCGGCTCGCCAAGCCTCTCGCCCGCGGTCTCCTCGGTTCCCCCTGCTGGCGGGAGGAGGGTATCGCAGTGGGACGCTCTCGAGGCTCTCGGAGGGGAGTGGGTAGGAGGCCACGACCCCTCCACACGCTGTCACTAGGGCTCAGTGCCCACCCCCTGCTCAGCTATCCTCTTCCAAGATCCTGGCTCCCAGAGCGTTTAGGGCACCTGCCGCTCACCTGGCGGGACAGCTGAAGGCAGTGAGGTGCAGTGACTCGAGCACGGGCCTGGGGACTTCCCATACAGGGTCAGCTAATATAGGGCCTTGGACAGATTTTCTCTCCCTCAAAATGGAGATAAAACTACCGAAGTTGAGGTTATAAAGCCTCTGTCACAGAGCAGGTCTCAGAAATGTACACTGCCAGATTCTTGGAGACACTCCAATCTTCGCACGGGTGAGAGTGGGAGCTTTGCCCAACATTTTACTCAGCCTTGGGCGAATTTAACTCCCTTTAAAGAGCTTCTCTTTGCATTTTGGTGGACTCCTTAGTAGTCGACAGAGTTCTATTTTCCTTTTTCTGATTTTGTAATAAAAGTAAACTAGGATTCTAAGTACTAGATCTCTTCAGGATATAAATCTGAGATTTCCTGATGCTGCTTCATCCTTTGCGAGCAGGAACTTTCCAGGATCCATCCAGTAACCATCTTCCAGTAGCAGCAGCAGCCCCTTGTTAACACTCTGTGCAGGCACCTGTCTGTGTAGACACCTTATAGACATGACCTCCTTTAATACACAACCAGGAGGTAGCCATCTATTATTACCCCCATTTTGTCCAGAAGGGAACAGGTTCAGAAAGGATAAGTGACATATCTAAAGTCATATACCTAAATGTCAGACTTGGGATGGGCTCCCGCATCTCTGACTCCAGACAGGAAGTTCTTCTGGCAACAGAACATTCTGAACACAGAATTTTAATTAACCAGTCTCTAACTGCAAGCACCTGGGCAGATTCTCCCTCTAATCACTATTCCTCTTGAGCTGTTTCCTTGCGAGCTGTCCCCAAGAGTAAGATCAGTGAACCCAAGGGCACAGGAATGTATCATCTTGTCAAGCCAGGTTTCCTCAGGAGCCCTGGGCTGATTCACATGCCCACGAGTGAGTTCCTGTGTCCCTCCGCACCAGCAGGAGGCCTCATCATTTTAACTGATTTTTGCTAAATTTGTTACTGAGTTGCATGTCACTAAAGATGATACAGAATAAAATGTTCCTAAGTATTTAACGTGTGCCAAGCCACCTCAAAGTTACTGGCCACCTGTCCATTAGATACTGGGTATTTTCCCTCCTAGGTTTATATTTATTCCCCCACCTCATTGGACTATTAAACTCATATTTTCTAGTCCCCTGCTCTTGCTTTTGTTGAGCTGATCATAATCTCTATCAATTTATTTTAGTTAGAAAATTATCACTTCTTCTCAACTGGGGTACATGTGTCCCCGTTTCTAATCTTTTTGGCATTTTAAATGATTCAGCTTTTAGCCTTTTTGAAATCAAGAAGAGTCTGGAGGATAATGTATGGGCCTCATTTTAATTTCCACAGGTATCTAGTTTCCACTGCAGTATTTATGAAATGATCAAATTTACATCTCCTCAAAGTCTGGGGTTAACCTTCAATCCAGTCATGGAGGGGTTTTGCCATAATGGGAGTCAGCATTTGTGACAGTGACAGCTGGTATTTGGCAGTATCTGTGTTCCCCTTCCTCTTTTTCCAAGGCACATCGTTAAAACACATCACCCAGCCTTCCCTCGATATCACTTGTTAATTGAGATAGTGTGTGAAGTACTTGTCAAAGTGAATTCCCATCCCCTTCTTTTCTTCTCTCCCTTCCTAGGAAAGATGCGGCCCAAAACACCTCTCATCTATTCCATATTCCTGAGCACTTGGAATTGATGCCAGCCTCTCGTTCTACATAGGAGAACTTTTCTGCCAGAAATCAGGCTTCGCTACATGGCTCTGGCCCACTCTGAGATCCCCAGAGCTTGGCAAAAGCTTATTGTGCGTGTTGGTGCCTGTTGGAGTCCTCACAGGACACACGTAAGTCACGAGTATCCCTTAAACAAAACAGTGATATGAATTATTTGGGGCTTCCTCACTCCTGTGTCGCTCCCACCTGCCTCACTACCTGAGTAGATCTGGGTGGGCAGGGGAAGTCTGTCTCCCCAAACAGTTCCTCAGCATCCGCTGAGATCTAGAACATCCCAGTGGGTCAGGGTTCCTTCCACCTGGTTGCCTCTGAAGCACGGAGTGACTTATAGTCTCCCTTCCCACAGCCAACACTGGGCAGTAGAGTACTGTGGCTAACTAGTTCAGCAGATCGGGGTCCCAGCCCCCATCCCCCAGCTACACAAGAACTCTGTGATCTGACTTGGGGTAAGGCACTCACCCCGTTGAGCCTTGGGCTCCTCAGGCCAAGTAAGGAGGGTGATGGCATTGACCTTGGCAAGGGGCATATGCTTCCAGCATGGCATACTCAATATTCTTGGTCAGCAAGAAAGCAGGGGAGAAAGGGTGGCTTTGAGAGGGCCCACCCATTTCCATGGGGCCTTTTCTCACTTCCTGCAGAGAGAGCTTGCTCTCTCCTGCCCCTCCTGTCCGGCTTCCGGGCGGGCCTGGCCTCCCTCTGACCGGAGCCCCGCTGACACCCACTGGGCCCAGGGGCTGCCTCTGGGTTCCTCCCCTACTGCTCTTTTCTCCCTGGCCTGCTCTCTCCGGGTTCCTTGCTGCTTCTCCAACCCTGCCCCTCGTAACTGCCTCTGCTGGCACTCTCTGCCTCTTTGTATTAACCACAATGGTAATTAATTAACTACTTGTACAGTTACGCGTTTAATATATGTGTCCCTCACCACTAGCTTGTAAACTCTGTGAGATGAGACTCTGTCTGACTTCTTTCCTGCTGTTTCTCCAGTGCTTGGTACTCAATAAAAATTTGCTGAAAAAATAATGAGTGGTTACCTGTTTTTGCTTCTAAGTTCCTTGAGGGCAGGGGCTGTTTAACTGATCCCTTTCCTCTGTACCCTGCAGAGAACCTGCTACTGAATGCGCAACAATAAATATTTGTTGAGTGAAACCAAGAACAAATAAATGAATAAATGAACCGAGAGAATGAACCCCCATTTGTTTTCCCTTTTTACCTTCTTCACGCCTTGGGACCCAGCCTCCCCTTCTGTGTAAATGGCTTCCTGGTCCTGACCAGCCCCTATCTTGCAGCTTCCCTAGACCCATAAAGGTGACAGGTGAGAAGTGAAAGGCCTTCCACATTTGTATGTTGTCATCGGAAAAATAAGGCTTTCAGGACACCTGCATGGGTCCTCTCTACCTCAGTTCCTGCAGAAGACACAGCTACCTGGTCAAAAGGGGTGGCTGCACCCCAGGAGAGGATACATGGGTACACACTGGACTGGATTCATCAAAGCCATTAACTGCAAAGTTTCATACACACGCTCATACATATGGTGGTAGATGGTGGTGTATTCTGGTTAAGAGAATGGAGAAGTCCTTAGAGTTGCTTTGGGTGAATCACACATCTTTTTACTTTTCTTTACTCATCTGAAAATGGGACCTAATATTACTGAATTTCCTTCTTAAATAAAGGATGTTTTCCTGTTCGCATTTAAACATTCCTGGAATTAGAAGACATCTTCAGTCAATAGGTATATTAATCTGGCTATGGGTTTTGGTCCCCTCCTTCCAAACATGGTCAATAAATCCAGAGTATAGCACAGAATCAAGGGCATTCTTGAAAGCTAAGTCTTAACTCAGACTGTTGTATCTCACATTTTCTCACAAGGCACACGTCTAACTAAAGTCAGTAGAGTGAGGACATCTGTAAAGATCTAGCCTGATTTAAAAAGGTGACTTTGTGCTGTAAGTGTTATAAACCAGGCATAAACCTGCTAGGCACGACATGGATTTCAATGGAATGAAGAAACCGTGTGAAGTGCATTCATGCCGCCACATGTGTTTAATGTAAAACCAACATCCTGTCTGCCAAACACTGGACCAGAAACATCACCCGCCTTCACTCAAAAGTCAAAGGGCTTTGCAGGATAATTTTGGTGACCAAGACTCTTTAAAAAAGATGCCTGGGGAGATGGAACCTTTCCCCCGCTAAGTAAATTTTTCTAGAGGAAATAGCTCCATTGACCTTAGACACAACTTCAGCTCTTTCTTGAGAGCTGTTTAAAATTGTCATAATATCTGATTGTTTGAAAGTCTCACTAAAGATTTTCAACATGAGGACCTGGGGATGGGGTGTCTCTTTAATCTTCTTTTCCCTTCTGCTAGTCCTTTAGTCCTCTCCTCCTCACAACAGAATCAGGAAGGAGGAAGCCCTTTGGGAACAGAGTGCCCAGGGGGCAGTGGGATGTTCCCAGGCCTTCTGGAGGAGGGAAGAGAGTCCATCTTTGCTTCTTTTCCTTTTAAACGACTTTATGTAATAAGGTATAGTGCATTTTGACTGATGTAAACACTTGTTAACTGCCACCCTAACCTTGCTCTTTTGACTGTTGCTGAGCGTGAAGAAGGTAGGTGCTCAGCCTCTGGTTTTTGATCCTACTTCCTAGAATCCCTGTGCACCTCACCTTGCTTGTTCACACTGCAGAAATCAGTGACCGAGTGGGTCCTGACAGGGGAGGTGAGACCACCTTGCTCAGAGCAGAGCTGCTGGGCAGTGGAGGCAACACAGCGTCCGAGAGACCCCTGTCATGGTATTACAGTTGCATATTTATTCATTCAACACGCAT